TCACGTAACGACCATGCCTGGCCTGGGGGCCGGGTTTACATGTTGCTGCGTGCATGTTGTGTGCATGACTATGCACTGATTGTTCCATTCGTGTTTTTTTCATTCAAATCTGGTCGCAGCAAGGCAGCTTATGTCTGAGTAAAACAATGCAAGCGACGGGTGGAAACAGAAAAATATCATTATGTCTAGACATTTAATAAAAAAACTTGCCCTATTTTCAGCCCGCTGATTTCCTATTATAGTTCGTTTGTACCTTTTGACAACTTGAAAAGGTGATTCAAGAGTCTCCTATAATTTGTTCAGAATAGCTTAGAATGCACCAAATTGCACCATTCTTTTAAAAAAATTCCGGGGGAGCATGCCCTCGGACCTCCCTAGCATGGCGATGACCTACGGTCCTCGCATTGCTCTCCTCTGTTTGCTAATTAAAATTTCAGCTGAAAATTAAATTATCCAATCTCATCCCTGGCAATGGCAGCAACCTGCTTACAAGGAAAGAATTTCAGGATAGGGTCGCTAAATGTGGGCACCCTGAGAGGAAGAGCAAGTGAGGTGGTGGAGACGTTGTCTCGAAGGAAAGTTGACATCTGCTGTCTCCAGGAGACCAGATACCATGGTGGTTAGTGTCGTATATTCAAAGAAAAGATAAAGGAAGTACAAGTGCTACTGGTCTGGTAATGATAAGGGGACTGGTGGTGTCGGTGTGTTGCTGGCGGAGGAATGGATTGGGAATGTTTGAGGTGCGGCGTGTCTCGGACAGGATCATCCTGCTGAGGTTGGTGGTCGGCAGCTCTGTGCTGACGTTCCTGTCAGTCTACGCTCCACAAGTCGGCCTCAGCGATGTTGTGAAGGACCAGTTTTACGACCAGCTCCGTGCAACGGCTGCTAAGGTCCCTGCATCTGAGCTCCTTGTTCCTTGTGGAGACTGGAATGGTCATGTGGGAAGGGATGGAACTTGCTTCAGGGAGGTGCATGGAGGGTATGGGCTTGGTGTACGGAACGTGGAAGGAGATAGAATCCTGGAGTTTGCAGTGGCCAATGACGTAGTCATGGGAAACGCATGCTTCAAGAAGCGCAAGTGCCACCTCGTCACGTATCAATCTGGTGGTATCTCCACACAGATAAATTACATTTTGTTCCGTTGTAATCTGCGCAAGTTGATTGTCAATGTAAAGACCATCCCCGGCGAGGAGTGTGCCACACAACATTGCCTGCTGGTGTGCGACATCAAGGTTGACATTCCGTCACTGCCCAAGCGTAAATTTGTGCCTCGTCTGAAAATATGTAAGTTGAAGGACCCTGTGACCAGGCAGAAGTTCCGTGTGGCCTTTACACAACGGACTGTGGACGCAAATGCGGTTACCACTGAAAAATGGGCGAATTCAAAGTCTGGCCTTCTGGGTGCTACTGAAGTAGTGTGTGGTCAATCTAAGAAGCATCAGTGGAGAAAACAGACGTGGTGGTGGAATGACCTTATTGTCAGTGCGGTGGAGGAGAAACGGCGGTGCTACAAAGCTTGGAAAAGGCATGGGCAGCAAAGCTGTAGCATGTTGGGAAAGATGCACATTCTATTGAGAGGTTTTTAGCTCAATAGAATGTGCATCTTTCTTGTTTGATATTCTGGCTTGATTATTGATCTCTCTCGTGCATACCGTATTGGTTCTGTTATACGATGACTAACATGGGTAACCACCGTTGCTTTGGGGAAAATGCTCAGTGACAACTTGTAGAGAAAATCCTGACACTCATATTTACTTAATTCTAAGGAGTCGTGACAGAGGTAGTCAAAAGCTTCTGGATATACATTGTTACGAAAATTATAGTGAGCATTAGGTCACTGTAAACAGTAGACGTGATAAAATTATGCCCACTTTTTCACAAAATGTAAGTGATTCTGTTCACTTTTTAGCTGTTCATGCGTGCGTGCGTTCGTCCGTCAACAGTTGGGCACAAATCTTAACCGCTCGACGTACGGTCATGATATTCGAGACGTCGGGGGGGGGGGGGAATCGTACGAAGGACTCAGAATGACAAATTTGGGGGTCAAGGGTCAAAGGTCAAGATGTGTAAACAAAGGGGGAATATTTTCCCCTTAACTTAAGGTATAGAAGGAAATACGGAATTGCGGCACAAATCTGAACGGCTCCACCTATGCTATTAATATTGGGTGTATAGTGTGATGGGCAGGAAACCCATCACCAGTGCGAAATTGGAGGTCACAGGTCAAAGGGCAGTGGGGGAAAGGTTAGATATCAGACATTTTCTGAGGACATGGTCTGACGGAGCGATTGAAAAACTTTTTTGTTTCAGTGGTGACCTATCATTTTTATCACTTTATTGAAAGGACCATGAAATGTGCTTTCCACTGACGTGCGAAGAATAAGTGTCTGATAACCTTTTGACTGAAAGGGAAGGTTCAACATGGATTTGTTGATTGTTAACAAAGGACTGAACTGCTTTTGCTATTATTAGAGCCCATACCTGTGTGGATGTAAGGCTACATTTGCAGTTCAATTGCAAAGACAAACGTTTGTTGAACAAGGTTTACACTCCTTAAATCATATTATTTTATAAAGCAGTCTGTATATTAATAGCACCCTGAATGCTAGCGTGGCTACCGTCATCCGAAATGTAGGCAAACACCCGGGGGCAACCCATTACTCATGCATGGGGTGAACTGGCACTTTTCTAATAAACATGCACCTGCAATGCAGTGTGTTTAGCTCACCGTGACATCGTCAAGCTGAGCTATTGCCATGGGGCGTCGTCCGTCGTACGTTTGTTCGTCCGTCCGTCAACATTTGGCTACGGTCAACGATAACTCAGGAACCGTTTGACCCACATGTTTGAAATTGGGTATAGTTGTTACTGCTATGCTCCCATATTAAACGTCCTATTTTGGAGCGTGCCAGTCGACGTACTTTCGAACCACGGCAATTTTTTGGTGGAATTGCCATTAGTCAGTTCAGGTTCAACGGATTTTGCTCATTTTTAGTATGTGAATGAATAAGGGCTAGCGGTTTTGATATTTAAAAAAAAATTATGCATATTAGGTAGGGTTTGGCAATTATATAGCATATTATATAGACACGCAGATAACAAACAGTCTGTGGTGTCACACTCGTCTGGTTCGTTTTACAAGATTTCATTGACAATATCTTTAATGCAAAATTCCTGCTATGAACATATTATGATTTATACTATTATTATTAGCTCACCTTGACATCGTCAAGCTGAGCTATTGCCATCGGTCGCCGTTCGTCGTACGTCCGTCCGTCCGTCCGTCCGTCAACATTTCGCTACGGTCAACGATAACTCAGGAACCGGAGTTCTCCCATATATATACTCTTCGTTTCTATAATGTAAGTCGATGGTTGCTCAATTAAAACTGACTTCTTCTCACTCACTAATTTGTGTCATTTTTTGTGGTGAGCTACAGCGTCATTGACACTCATTAATTTATTACTCACAGCTGAGCCAAATTGTCGCCTGCCTGAATATACTTGGATTTTAGCCTGTACATTTTAGCAACTCAATGGAATTAGGTTAATATCTACTTTCTTGACTTATCACCAATGCACGAAGGTCGATGCCATGTTTGATTATTGATTACACTTGCACGTGCCATCTCGCGGCAACTATAGGCCTAGTGATACATTATGACATGAATATATAAGACAGTCCAGCAGGTATGAAGTAGGATGCTTTGTTAGGGTTTAGTTTTAGTGTTAATACCTATGCTACACAGTTTTGATGATGACGTACCCGGTTTAGCGATAGAACAGGCTTTCAACCTTTTGCAGAAATGAAAGCCAGTACAGTAGAGCAGCAGATGAGCACTGTCGCTGTTGCGGCACTTGTTGGTAATTAATTAAACTATTCGTGATTCACGGAAAATTCACAGGGATTATAGCTAAGACATGTGTTTATATGTATCTAGATTTCTAGAAATGTAGCTCAATTCGTTTCCGAGATATGTGAGTTAATTCACTTTCATGCCGCCTATAGCGCAATAGCGTATGTGTGTGTGTGTGTGTGGGGGGGGGTTTAACAGCTGGATACAATCATCTGTAATTCATTTCTAAGGAATATCTA